TTCCATTTAAAATGATGTTGGCTGTGGGTTTGTTATATATGGCTTTAATTATGTTGAGGTATGTTCCCTCCAGTCCAATTCCCACTAGGACTCTGAACATAAATGCATGTTGAATTTTGTCACAGTCCTTCTCTGCATCTATTGAGATGACCATGTGGTTCTTGTCTTTGAGCCCATTTATATGATTTATGATGTTTATTGACTTAACGTATATTGACCCATCCCTGCATCTCTGGGATAAAGCCAACCTGATCATGGTGGATGATCTTTTTGATGTGTGTCTGTATGCGGTTTGCAAGTATCTTGTTGAGAATTTTTGCATCTATGTTCATTAAGGATATGGGTCTATAGTTTTCTTTTTTGGTTGTATCTTTACCTGGCTTTGGTATTAGAGTGATGCCTGAGTAGTCGTCAATATTTCTAACTCTTTTCTGAATTCATTCAGAAATTTATCCCACTCTTCCTTCAGTTCTTTGATTTGTTTGTGTGTTCTTTAAATTCATTGAATTCTTTTATCATGCTCATAATTGTTCTTTTGAGTTCCATGTCCTGTGTTATCTCTAGGGAGTTCTCATTGTATTCCTCTGGAGGACTATTGGTACTTGGTGAGGATATATTATTTTGGTTTTTCATGTTATTATTTTTACTCTGTGATTTTGACATGTGAATTTCTTTTGTAGTTTCTGACTCTTCAAGTTTAGTTCTGCTTCTTTTATTTGTTTAGATCTGCTTCTTTTTGTAAACTTTATGTGCCTTTGTGTTTTACTTTTGAGGCATGAAAAACTGGTTCCTCTAAGCTTCCAGTTCTCTCTTTTGATTTTATATTGGAGTGGCCAGATTGCTTTTGTCTTCAGGAGTTCCCACAGAGGTCCAAGTCAGATGAGGATCAGATGCTCTCAGGCTTTCTCCTAAGGTCGGGATCCCTCCAGGAAAGATTTTGGCCCCAGGAATTTGGGGGTTGGACTGGCGTGGGAGCAGGGCCCAGGAAAGATGCTGATCTAGGGCAGCTGGTAGCCATGCCACCCAGAGATGCAAAGGGAGATGGGGGTGGGAAGCAGCCCCAAGGGCTCCTGGGGACAGCACTGAGGAACTGGGTTGGTCTGGATGCAAAGGATCAGGAAGCAGAAAGGTCAGCCCCTGCATCCAGGAAAGAGGCTGGTGGGTTGTGCATACCAGGGAAGCAGAGGGAGGTAAGGGTGGGACCAGGCCCAGAGGGCTCCTGAGGACCTCGAGAAGGAACTAGGTCCATCTGGATGCAAGGGATCAGGAAGCAGTAGTGCCCCCCCCCCAGGCCGAGAGCTCAGCCCTGTAGACCAGGAAACAGGCTCAATAAATGTATTTTTTTTTTAATTTTACAAGAGCAAAATATGTTCCCAATGTGATTCATATTCAGTGGGTGACAGAATTGATTTGCCTTCCTGCTTTGTGGAATTGAGAATTATTTCTAAAATCAATTTCAGAAAGAAGAGAGGCAGGCAAATGGGTAGATTGGTAGTTTTGACTAAATTTGGTGTCTTCTGTGAAGTCCATGGAGACTGTTTTGATCTAACTCATTCAGGATGGTTTTGAATGTGAATAAGTGCTTTTCTCATGCAGTCTTATTATTGGTTTTTTTTTTCCCTACCAGGCTATTTGATGCACGAGTTTCACAAGTTTTGGATTGAAGAGGACCCCATGGACATAATGGAATTTAATCGTGTGCGGGAGAAATTCCGCAAGAGGATCATAAAACAGCTGCAGAACCCAGACATGGCACTGTGCCCGCATTTTGCTGCATCGGAAGGCTTAATCAACATGTAGTGGCCCTCACTGGTTTCAACAGACACCCCAGAACACTGCCTCATGTTGTTTTAGATCCCTACTAGGTCACAGCTCACACACCGAATGCACATAGTGATTATATGCATGCCGTTTGGTACAGTATTTTCATCTCTTGGTCCTAATTCCAAGATCCCCAAATACCACTGTTTCTGGAGTGGCTGACCTCCAGCGACTGCACATATCGTGGCATTACACAGTGTTAACATCTGGCCTTGACGCCCAGGTATGGAGAGATTTTTTTTCTATTTTTTTAGATTTGTTTTCCTCCCCCACATTATTCAATATTAAAGATGTGTATTTCTCTAGCTGTAATTTGTATGTAAGAGGTTTAGCCGAATCTCCTTCTGTGAAACCCTTTTAATTTATTGATATGTTTCATGAAGACTGCTGCTAGCTTCTCAAGCCAGGTTCATGCTTGGACCGCATTCTGACAAAGTATAAGACTTTCAAACAATGCAGACAGACACATGATAAGCCAAACTCTTCCCGCAAACATAGCTGCGCTTCACAAAAATGTAATGAGGCTAAACGAAGTTCACTGTAGATAGGAGCCATTCTGTACAGTACTGCAGAGTTCTAACCCAGCTTCATTGCAGATGCAATTGTATCAGTCACCGAGATAGTAACGTATTTTACTCCCATCCTTTCACGGCTTGGATGTCTAAATATGTTTATGATGCTTGGAGCATCCGAAAAGGAGTCACATCTTTCAAAGGCTGCCGAAGGTTTTTCACTGCCTGCCTCTTGCTGAACTTAGAGTTGCTTCCCAGCACTCTCCTGATCCAAGCATCTTTGCGCAGGGGATTGAGTGCTGGCTAGCTTGTTTTCTATGTTGAGGGGCAATATTAAAAAAAAAAAAAATGCAAGTAAATGTGTTGCACCACAGGAGCCTAAATTATGCTACTGTGCATATTTCTTGAAATTAACAACCTTGCATCAGTGGAAGAAATAAATTACTTGGAGGTTAAAAAATGAAGTCATTCTAAAACTGCTAAAAACGAGTGCTAAAAGAACCTGTGATTTAGTTTGGAATTATGATTGTAGTCTGTTGAATAGTATTTACCATGGTATTTCATACCCGTGGTATTTTATACTTTAGGACTATCAATTTTAGTATTATTAGATGTTTGTGTAATCACTTGCTTATTTAAATGAATTTTGAGTACTGCCTAACTGTCAGTTATACGAATAAATTACATGTCATTCTACAGAAACACAGAGTGGGTTTCATTTTGATGACTTTGTGCTCATATAGTGTATTAATTACTTTTCTGTTGCTGTGATAAAATGCCATGACCAGGGCAACTTATAGAAGGAAGATTTTATTAGGCTTATGGTTTCAGAGGGAGGACAGTCCATCTTGGGGGTTGGGGGGGCACGGCAGGAGGCAGCCAGAGTGGAAAGCTGAGTGCTCACATCTTTAAGCAGGCAGAGGAAGCACAGAGAGAAAGAGAGAAACTGAAAACAAGACGTGGCTATGAACTCTAGGAACCCACCCCAGTGACACGCTTCTCCCAGCAAGGCCACATCTCTTAAGCCTCCACAAACAGGGCCACAAGCTGTACCAAGTATTGAAATACTTGGAACTTATGAAGGACATTCTCATTCAAACCACCACATATAGTTCCTAAAATACACAAGTATATGTGAGGAAAAGGCCCAAGACAGGCAACCTGGAACTGGTAAAAAGTTACTCTGTCTTTCAGAGTAACCAGGTATAATTTAGAATATGCCCCATCCAAGAGATTTCTTTAATCTTGCTCTCTGATAGTGTTTCAATGAAAGAGTAAGCTCTAACCTTTTCTTTTCTTTTCTTTTTTCTTTTTTTGAGAAAGGATCTCACTATGTAACCTGGCTGATCTAGAACTCACTTTGTAGACCAGAGATCCACCTGCCTCTGCCTCCTGAGTGTTGGGATTAAAAGTGTGCACCCTCATGCCCCACTCTCTTAACTTTTTCTTCATTACTTCCTATAAAACCTGACTTGCCTACTGCAAGACAGCTGATAAAAAATATACCTGTCTGTTGCTTCTTGGTGGGAGCTCCTTCTAGGATGGTACTGTCCTTTCTCAGTCGTGGAGCCAGGGAGCAGTATTTTCTACTGCCTCTCTTTCATCCCTGTGCCCTGTGTGAGACTGTGTGGGAGAAGGAGTTGGTCAACACATAATGCATACCATTAAGAGTGGTATGGGTAAGAGTGGATGTGTCTCTCGGGAGTAAGTGAGACACTGTGAGCCTAGCAAATGTTCTGTCCTGAACACAGTCTATTTCCACCTACGGATGAAGACATGATCCTACGGGCAGAGCAGATTTCATCAGCCGTATGTGTGCATTATCTCCTCCTATCCACTGTCGTCCTGTGTCACTGACACAGCTTGATGACTTGATGGTATGTGGCACTTATACCTGCTCATATCTCTTCTGTTCAGGCAGAGAGAGTTGACATTAACCAAGCTAAGAAACTCCCCTCACAGCTCCTTGGATGCTCTCTATCATATCCCAACATGGCTGCACAATCTTAGGATGAATGAGCTCTGCCAGCTTCTTGAAGGTTTTATTAGATTCCTCACTCACACCTCATTGTGGAAGATGTATTCTACCCAGCAACACAGCAAAGTGAGAAAAAGAAGAGATTTCAAAAGCATCAGAGATGTGTGATGTATGATATTTGTATGTGTTTCCCTACGGTATTTTTAGCTTGCTTATATTTATTCTACTGGGCAAGGACTGACCGTATAAAATGCAAATTGTGCAGCGCATTTCTTTCAAGTTTGCTAAAACATTACTTGCTATATGATAAAAATATTCTAGTTCACACTACAAGGAAAGGAATAAAAAGTAATCTTTGAAGCATAATTTCTGAAGCTTTAGACTTCAGTCTGACTTTCTTACAAATGCTATTGTGCTGCAGTGGAAAATATTTGCCTGGTAACCCACCATCTGTTCTATATTTGAAGAGTCTTAGCTAGGTGCCACTCCCAAGACAGAGGTTGCTCTTACAGTACATCTTCCAGATGAGAGCATGCTTGAGAGAAAAAGAGGATATTGCTGACAAGTCTTTAGTACAATGTACTAAACAGAGACAGTTTAATGAAACTGAGATGTGACCAAGGTAGACAGAGAGACAGATGTAAGCAGGAACTGTTCATTCCTGAGTCAGCAATGAAGATACGACTCCAAATCTTTGCTTTCTTACTCAGGCAGAAGTGTATCATAGAATCCTGCCATAAGTGCTATATACCCATCAGAGATACGGACTTGGTCTGAAATGAGAATTTCAACTATAAAGACTGGGTCTAAAACAGAGATGAGGAAATAAAACCTTGCAGACAAGCTCCATTGGATGCAAGTTATATTGATCTGAAAACATACGAATGGGAGCAAAGATGGGACCAGAGTTGGTGGGGTATAGGGGAGGGGAGTAGAGGGTGCTGGAGAGAAGAGGAAGGGGCCAGACAAAATGGAAAGCGGAAATTCTCAGATCAGTGAGCCCAGAGCCACATGGAAGAAACTCCGGCACAATGGCTTGTGCTGTGCTTTACCAAAACATTGCCTCCAGCTCTCCAGGGAGCTTAGCAGGGGAAGTGCTCTAATCTGGAAACAGGTGGCAGCAAAGCAGAACCAAGTAGAGCATGGAGCCATGAAAGATGGAGGGGCTCCCACACAGATTCCATTTCTAATGCATGCAGTGACCTCTGCGACCCTGTGTCAGGACCTTGATATCCCTGACCTTGCATTGCTCCAGCTCCTTAACATTTAAAGTCAGGCAGCTTTAATTTGTTCCTTACTTGCTTTTCATGACAAGCGGGCTTATAGGATTTAAATACATTGCCAAAGGACTCAAGAAAGAGAAGGAAATGAGCTGGATATGGTGGCTCATACCTACAATCTGTCTACACAGGAGGCTGACACAGAATCATGAGTTCACAGGCAGCCTGAACTACATACTGAGTTCCAGGACAGCCTGGGTTACAGAGTGAGATCCTATTGCCTAAGCCAAAAGCAGAAAGAGATAGAGACAGAGAGACAGAGAGAGACAGAGAGAGAGAGAGGCAGAGAAAGAGAGAGAGAGAACAAAGATGATGACAAAGCTAAACCTTGAACTCCAAGGTAATAAACCAAGGCTTCTAGTCATTATATTGTTCGCCTTGAACTGTACCCTACTGTCCCAGGGTTCTTGTGGGTTATAAACATGCACAGATGCTCATACACAGCTTGCCCATAAGTGATAACATGTTAATAAATACTCACTCAGATGTCTGCAGGGTGAATTTATACCTAAAAATGCAATTGTGCTTTCCCTCGGGACATTGTTGGTCAGAATTGCCTGTCTTGATCTACAAACAATTCTGGAACCATCTTGAGCTCTTTCTCCTGATCTCCACCTCTCTGGAGGTGGAAGCTGGCTCTCATTCTTCCTGCCTCCTGGTGGGAAACCTTGGCAAGGTGGGTTGACAGAGCCGGGCTGAGCCATGCTCAGGCCAGATGCTGCAGGGCATTTCTGAAGAAAGAAAAACACATGAGACCTTCAACATGTGGATTCTTCATAAATAATACAGCCCCTGGTGTCCCACTGACCTTAAGCAACCTCCAGAATGCTGCTACCCACAGACAAGTATGATGTCATCCATCAGTATCCCTGGGAAACTTCACAGACACCCAAAGGAAATGGTTAGGAAGAAGTCAGAGAAAGATCTTAAAGATTAAAAGTTGGCTATTTGATTATATTTTTTCTTTGTTTGGTTTTTGGAGATGGGGGCTCCCTGTAGTCCCAGCTGGCTTGGAACTTGGTACATAGTACAGGCTGGCCTTGATCTCACAGAGGTCTGCCTGCTTCTGCCTCCCAAGTACTAGGATTAAAGGCATGCACTACCATGCCCAACTTGACTATTTGATTTTTTTATCAGTGAAGTGCCTAACGCTGTGCAATGGGGAAAAAACAGAAGAAAAATTATAATAACTAGAAACGTTTAACAATGGCAAGAGAAAGCTGAGATTAAATTGTAAAAATCAGGGCTGCAGAGATGGCTGAGTGGATAAGAACATTGCTTTACAAGCATGGAGATCCGAATTTGAATCCTTAGCACCCACATAAAAAGCCATACATGTGCCTGTAACCCCAGCATTGGAGGATGAAGACAAGCAGATCCTGAGAACTTGCTGGCCAGCTAGCCTAGCCTAATGGCAAGCTTCTGGTTCAGAGAGAAACCTTGTCTCAAGGCAATAGATGGGGAGTGATAGAAGAAGAATCTGATATCCTGCAGAGCATGCAAGCACATGTACCTGCACACTCATGTGAACATACAACATACAACACATACACACACATACAATTTTAATTAATTAATTTATTTATTTATTTTTATTTATTTATTTATTTATTTCTTGGTCTTTTTGAGACAGGGTCTCCCTGTAGCCCCAGCTGTCCTGGATTCACTATGGAGACCAGGCTGGCCTCGAACTCACAGAGATCTGCCTGCCTCTGCCTCCCAAGTGCTGGGATTAAAGGCATGCACCACCATGCCTGGCCCTAAATTTTACTTTTTAAAAAGAACAGTTTGCCAGGCGTGGTGGCACACACCTTTAATCCCAGCACTCAGGAGGCAGAGGCAGGTGGATCTCTGTGAGTTCGAGGCCAGCCTGGTCTCCATAGTGAATCCAGGACAGCTGGGGCTACAAGGAGACCCTGTCTCAAAAAGACCATTAATCCCAGCTCTCAGGAGGCAGAGGCAGGCAGATCTCTGTGAATTCAAGGCCATCCTGATCTACATAGTGAGTTGCAAGTCAGCTGGAGATACAGAGAGACCCTGTCTCAAAAAGACCAAAAAATAAAATAAAATAAAATAAAATAAAATAAAGAACAGTTAAACCTTCTCTGTCCTGCAAATCAAAGCATCCCTTTATGATCATCACCTTAAAGGCTGTTCCACAGCACTGTGAGCACCATTTTCGTGATTTTGGAATCTGCTTTATTAGGGTTTCCAGACAGCTAGGAAATTACTTATATGAATTTACAGCAATGGTAACAGCATGCACAAGACCCATGGAAGTGCAAACCAGACAAAATCCCAGCATAGAAGGGAAATGGGAAAGAAATCCCAACCTTAGCTGAGGAACTATTGGCAGCCAATAACTGCTGGAGAGGGAGAGTCAGTTTTCTTTAAGGGTGTGAGACTGGATAGGTTAGCCAGGCTCCAATGGAGGACCCACACCAAAGGACATTTGGAG